AAAAAAAAAAAAAAAAAATAGAAATGGAAGGAAAACCTCCAGACTTATTCTATGAGGCCAACATCACCTTGATTCCAAAGTCAGGCAAAGTCCCACTAAAATGGAAAATTATAAGCCAATATCCCTGATGAACATGGATGCAAAAATTCTTAACAGGATACTAGCAAATCGAATCCAAAAGTACATTATTCACCATGATCAAGTGGGATTTGTTCTTGGGCTGCAGGGGTGGTTCAATATTTGCAAATCAGTCAACATGATATACCACATTAATAAAACAAAGGGTAAGAACCATATGATCCTCTCAATAGATGCAGAAAAGGATTTGACAAAAATTAAAATTATTGATAAAACCCTCAACAAAGTAGGGACAGATGGAACATACCTCAACATCATTAGGGCCATATATGAAAGACCCACAGCTAATATAATCCTCAATGGGGGAAAACTGAGAGCTTTTCCTTTATGATCAGGAACCAGACAGGGATGCCCACTCTCACTATTACTATTTAACAGTGTTGGAAGTCCTAGCTTCAGCAATCAGACAACAAAAAGAAATAAAAGATATCCAAACTGGTAAGGAAGAAGTCAAACTTTCACTATTTGCAAATGACATGATACTCTATGTAGAAAATTGTAAAGACCCCCACCAAAAAATTGCTAGAACTAATACATGAATTCAGAAAAATCACAAGATATAGCATCAATGTACAGAAATCTGTTGAATTTCTATACACCAATAATGAAGCAGCAGAAAATAGAAATCAATAAATCAGTCCCACTTACAATTGTACCACAAACAGTAAGATACCTAGGAATAAACCTAACCAAAGAGGTAAAAGAGCTGTACTCTGAAAACTATAGAACACTTATGAAAGAAATTGAAGAAGACACACACAAAAAAATGGGAAAAAATTCCATGCTCATGCACTGGAAGAACAAATGTTAAAATGTTTAAACTACCCAAATAAATCTACATATTCAATAAAATACCTATCAAAATGCCACCAGCATTTTTCAGAGCTAGAACAAACAATCCTAAAATTTGTATGGAACCACAATAGCCAAAGTAATGTTGAAAAAGAAGATCAATGCTAGAGGCGTCACAATTCTGGACTTCAAGCTATATTACAGATCTGTAGTCATCAAGACAGTATGGTACTGGCACAAAAACAGACACACAGATCAATGGAACAAAACAGAAAACCCATAAATGGACCCACAACTATATGGTAAACTAATCTCTGAAAAGCAGGAAAGAATATGCAATGGGAAAAAGACAGTCCTTTCAACAAATGGTTTTGGGAAAACTGGACAGCAACATGGAGAATGAACATGGACCACTTTCTTGCACCATACACAAAAATAAATTCAAAATGGATGAAAGACCTAAATGTGAAACAGGAAACCATCAAAATCCTACAGGAGAAAAAAGAAGCAACCTCTTTGACCTCGGCTGCAGCAACTTCTTACTAGACATGTTGCCAGAGACAAGGGAAATGAAAGCAAAAATGAACTACTGGGACTTCATCAAGATAAAAAGCTTATGCACAAAACTGAAGGTAGCCTGTGGAATGGGAGAAGATATTTGCAAATGACATATCTGATAAAGAGTTAGTATCCAAAATCTATAAAGAACTTATCAGACTCAACACTCAAAAACCAAACAACCCAGTTAAGAAAAGGGGCAAAAGACATGAATAGTCACTTTTCCAAAGAAGACATCCAGATAGCTAACAGACACATGAAAAGATGCTCAACATCATACATCATCAGGAAATACAAATAAAAACCATGATGAGATTCTACTGCACACCTGTCAGAATGGCTAAAATTAACAACACAAGAAACAACAGTTGTTGGTGAGGATGTGGAGAAATGGGAACCTTCCTACACTGTTGATGGGAATGAAACTAGTTGCAAACACTCTAGAAAACAGTATGGAGGTTCCTCAAAAAGCCCAACATAGAAATTCCCTGTGCAATTCCCTC